AGTCTTAAGTCCATATCTTTTTGCTTTATTCATGGATGTTCTCACTAGACATTTGCAAGATGATGTACCTTGGTGTATGCTTTTTGCTGATGATATTCTTCTTGTTGATAAGACTAGAGAGGGAGTTGAAGGTAAACTTGAATTATGGAGGTCAACCTTAGAGTCTAAAGGTTTTCGCTTGAGTAGATCTAAAATGGAATATATGGAGTGTAATTTTAATAGTAATAGACATAGTGAGGGGATTGTGACTTTGGGCGATCAAGTCATTAATAAGAGTACACGTTTTAGATATCTTGGATCTATTGTTCAGAGTGATGGTGAAATAGATGGGGATATTATCAACAGAATTCAAGTTGGATGGTTGAAGTAGATGAATGCATCGGGCTTGTTGTGTGATAGAAAAGTACCCCTCAAACTTAAGGGAAAATTCTATAAGATGGTAGTGAGGCCTGCAATGCTTTATGGTGCTGAATGTTGGCCATTAAAAGAGAAGCATAATATTAAGTTAAGTGTGACAGAGATGAGGATGCTCAGGTGGATGAGTGGCTTTACCCTTAGAGATAGGATACGAAATGAGCATATACGTGAAAAGGTTGGAGTAGCTCCAGCAGAAGATAAGATTAGAGAGAGTCGCCTTAGATGGTTTGGTCAAATAAAACGGCGGCCTTCCAATGACCCGGTTAGGAAAGTAAAGGTATTAGATTTGACTTATATTAAGAAAGGTAGAGGCAGACCTAAAAAGACCTTGTTAGAAAATATTAGGAATGGCCTTTCTTTATTAGATTTAAACGAGAATTTGACCTTTAATAGTACACAATGGAGAAAAATGATTCATGTAGCCGACCCCACGTAGTGGGATAAAGGCTTGATGTTGTTGTTGTTGTTTTCTTTTTTCTCTTTTTCATTCAATTTTATTAATAGGCTATAAATGTTATGTTTTAGCACATTAAATAATGGTGTTATGTTCCAATACTTTCCGTTTATATTTGCTACAATTAAAAGTTACTTAAAATTCTAATTCTGTCCTTCCATACATATTAAATTATGTATATAGTTCAGACTATGAATTGCTTTATTTGCTTGTTTTTCCTGTTCATTCCTAAAGAATATGCATTCCAGCAGATCCTAAATGCATAATTAAAAGTGATAACTAAATTAGCTATATATTTGCTACTATATTAATGAAAATGCATTTGGGTGGATCTCAATTGCGTTATGAAGTTTGCATGCATTTATATGCATCTACATTATTATAAGTTATATTATTTATTATATACACTTCCACATGTAGGTTTCTTCTCCACAGTTAATTGAATTTATTTTTTTAATTCATGTTATTTATTTTATCTCTATTATGATTGCTATCTATCTTGTGAATTTTAATTTAATTTAATTACTTATTCCTAAAAAAAATAAAGAATAAATAATTCAAAAGGAAAAGCTTCTAATAATAAAAATAGTTTATGGTGGAATCAAAATGTGCAAGAAAAGATAAAAAAATAAAAACTATTTTATAAATAATTGGTTTAAACTTAAAAGCTTAGAAAATTGGGAAAGATGTAGAGAGGCCATAAGAAGTCTAAAAAAGCAATATGATATGCAAAGAATTAATCCTTTAATGATTTATATAGTAAATTAGATATTAAAGAGGGTGAAATATATATGAATAAGTTAACCAAGCAAAGCGATAAAGTAAGGATCTAGTTCAAGTGAAGTGCATTAAGGATGAAGACCGAGATGTGCTTTAATTACAAGGGGATATTCATTATAAGTGGTGAGATAGTTCAATAAACTTTTTAATGAAGATTGTGAGAATATGATTGACTTTAGTAACATTAACACCCTAAACAAAAATAAAGATTTTTATTTTTATTATCGTATTAGTAATACAAAGTTATAAAGGCTTTAAAGAAAATGAAGTGTGGAAAAGCAAATGGACCTGATCATACTCCAATAGAGGTGTGAAAATTAGGAGATGAAGGAATTTCTTGGCTTACTAAACTTTTTAATATTATTTTCAAGACTAAAAGATGTCAGATGAGTGGAGGAGTGCGTTGGTTACTATTTTTAAAAATAAAGGTGATAAACAAGAGTACAGATTCTAGAGGGATTAAGTTAATGAATCATACATTAAAACTATGGGAGAGAGTAATTGAGCATTTGTTACGATGTGATACAATGTTTCGCAAAATCAATTTTGATTCATGTCTAGTAGGTCTACTATAGAAGATATACACTTATTGATACTAAATTAATACTGAAATATAAAAATCATAAATATTTATTTATTATTTTAAATAAGTTTTTAATTCAGTTTTGAATCTACTTTAATTGTTCATTTAGGCTAGTCTTTCTATCTATAATATGAACTTAAAATTTATTTATTAAAAAGTTCTTTTTATTTATATTCAGCACAGCAAACTTGATATTTATAAGTGTTCAAACGCAAGGTGGTTCGACCAAGTATTTTCCGATTTCATTTGCATTATATCAAGGATCAACTTTAAGCTTGTACCTTTTTGCTTTAGACATGGATATTCTTACTAGACATTTGCAAGAAGATGTATATTGGTGCATGTTTTTTGCTAACAATATTATTCTTGTAGATAAGACTAAAGAGGGAGTTGATGAAAAACTTGAATTATGGATGTCAACTTTAGAGTCTAAAAGTTTTCGTTTGAGTATATCTAAAATCGAATGGATGGAGTATAATTTAAGTGGCAATATATCTAGCGATGGGATTGTTACATTGGGTGATCAAGTCATTAAAAAGAGTGTGTGTTTTAGATATCTTGGATCTATTATTCAAAATGATGGTTAAATATATACAGATATTATTCCTAGAATTCAAGTTGGATGGTTGAAGTGGAAGAATACATGAGTCATGTTGTATGATAGAAAAGTTAAGGGAAGATTTTTATGAGATGGTGCTTATGTGCATTGTTGTTTGTGTTTATGTGCATTGTTGTTTGTGTTAGTTTATTCACTTTTGCTTGTAATAATTAGATTGCATT